GGAAGATATCTGTGTAGGTCATTCCATTTATCTCCTCTTACTATGTCTAGAAACAGTAATGTTTATTTATCTGTGCAAGGTGAGATCTCTCTTTTCATACAAAAAATTGCAGAAAATCTTCTTGCAATTTTTTTTTTCTCTGAGAATGAAGATCTGGTATTAATAATTCTTCTAAATGTTCAGCCCCAAACACTGTTTATATCTGTCCAATGTCCTCTTGCTTAGGAAGATAGCCAACAGCTTTCATATTGCCGAGAATATTCTGGGGATTTGGGGGGCAGTTCCGATTAAGAGGTTGATATCATATGTAGAAGGACTGAGGCCAAAGATAGGCTCCAGAAGCATGAGAAAAAATCTGTCTACCAAGCCCTGAGATGAGGGATTGCCTTTTGGATTTAATTTACGTAGGTGAGCACCATAATTACAAAGAGTAAGGAACACATATGGAAAACATGAGATGATTATTGGATCTTAAAGAGCACTTGAAGCATTGGAAAGCAAGCTTGCAGAACAATTGGAAGGGTCTATAAAGCACCAGGAAGAGACAAAGACTGTAACTATCAACATGAAGCTTCGCTCACAAGAAAGACACACTCTTATACTTTTGAGAGGGTGAAGATAAGTCAATATAACAAACAATAGACGAACTATTCAACACGATCATTCTAACCTCTTTGATGCAATTTTAAGTTTCTATGTGCTACTAGTAAGTTACAAATTCATTGAGAATGGAATATGTATCTGCATAAGAAAATTTAAGAAGATAAAACAGGGGTTCCTGGGTGGCTCAGTCAGTTAAGCATCTGACTTTGGCTCAGGTCATGATCTCACAGTTCGTGGGTTCGAGCCCCACGTTGGGCTCTGTGCTGACAGCTCAGAGCCTGGAGCCTGTTTCGGATTCTGTGTCTCCCTCTCTCTGTCTCTGCCCCTCCCCTGCTCACGCTCTGTCTCTGTCTCAAAAATAAATAAACATTAAAAAAAATTTAAAAAGATAAAACAGCAACAGGTTAATGTATTTGCATGATTTGGTCACAAACTAACCTCTTTGGTGTTTAGAAGAACAAACACCGGGTTGCCCTTTCCTGCGACTGATCTGACCTTTGGCTTTCCCTGGGGCATTTCCTCATCCAAAGGGTGGCATCCTGGCTCCTCAGGACAGTGGTTTGTAAATGACAAGCCTCTGAGCCCCACGCAAAATGTATTTGAAGATAAACTCTCCACATACAAACACACCAACAGACAGATACGGGTCCCCTTTAATTTTCTTCAATTCTTCTGGAAAAAAGAGAAAACTATGGAGATCACTCACTTGAAACCCGCTCTGCCATGAGAATGACGACAACGAATAGGAGCATGAAATTAAGTGACCAGTTATGGGATGTGGTCAGTTACTGATGCAGAAGTTCAGATCAGAGGATGTATGAATTAGTGAAAATTTGCTGATTACTAATGTTGCTGAAACTCTTCTCAGTGCCTTCCATAAGCCACGTCATTCAATCTTAGGATGGCTTTACAAGGGTCACTGCACCCATTTCACACTGGAGCTCGAAGAGTCTGAGTGCCCAAGGTTACAAGTAAGTAAGAGACAGGGCCAGGTTCAAACTCAGGCAGTGTGACCTATCATAGAAGGGCCTCCCGGTTCCATCTTGGATCTTCCAGCCTCTGGCCTGGATGATCACCGGTCTTCTGAGAAATAGTTATGTCACCCTGAGCAACCCAAGACCCGAGGTGAAAATGTGTAGAAATAGTAGCCCAGCTGTAATGTTTGAAGCTCTACTAAATATTTAGTTATACTCTGCTCTAGATTTTAGTTAGCTGTTTTTGTTCTTCCCTTTAAAAGTAGTACTGTGGGGCGCCTGGGTGGCACAGTCGGTCAAGCGTCCGACTTCAGCCAGGTCACGATCTCGCGGTCCGGGAGTTCGAGCCCCGCGTCAGGCTCTGAGCCATGTCAGGCTCTGGGCTGATGGCTCAGAGCCTGGAGCCTGTTTCTGATTCTGTGTCTCCCTCTCTCTCTGCCCCTCCCCCGTTCATGCTCTGTCTCTCTCTCTCCCAAAAATAAATAAACGTTGAAAAAAAAAGTTTTTAAAGTAGTACTGTAATAAAATTACCATAAGTCCTTTTTTTCAAAAGGGATCCTTGGTCCTCTGCAGGCAATAACAAGCTAAATTATTTCATAACAATAACAAAGTTCAAAACCACAGAGCACAGAAAAAGCAGCAGAAAGACTCAGCTCACTGGCTTTAGAACTGTAAGAGACCTCAGTAGCTATTTAGCCAAGAGGAAGAAGTGAAGTGACTTCTACGAGAAGTGAAATGACTCACCACAAAGGCACAAGGCATGGTAATCTTGGAGTCAGCTAGCCAGCATCGGAAGCCAGTTTCTTTGGACCTCAATGCTCTTGCTACGAGTGCTATCACTGAGGCCAGATGCAATGTCGTTCATTCTGTATCAAACTGAATGGCATATACTATATATTTTTACCTTATTCTTGCTGGACCAGACCCTTCTGATTTTGAATGGATCCATGGGAGTAACTAAGAGACAAATCAAGCCTTTCAGTTTATTTGGAAGCATATAGCCTTCAATAAGGTACAAGATAAATATTTTTCACCACAAAATAGTGTCGTTGACCACTTTCTCTAATTGGGCACGGTGGTCTTCTAACCTCTACGCGCACACTTGATTTTCAAGATTTCAGTTTCACTTAGAGAAGACCAGCAGAGATCAGGTTATGTTTAAAAGAAAGACTCTACTTTTACAGATACAAAAGTGAAATAATGAACAGGTAGAAATGAGCACCTGGGAGGAGATCATTTCCCTCTTTTATGTAAATACTCTCAGGACATTTCGAATACTTGGAGTCATTACTCTTCAAAACCAAACAAACAAAGAAAACCTCAACTATCCAACCTGTACCATATATTTAAATTTAAAACAAATTAAATATTTTTAAAATCTCATTTTCTTTGCTGTGTCTTTAAATGAAGGAAACAGCTATAAAAATAATTATTTCCTTTTTTTTAAATGTTTATTTATTTTTGAGAGAGACAGAGCATGAGTGGGGGAGGGGCAGAGAAAGAGGACACAGACTCAGAAAGAAAGGAGACACAGACTCAGAAGCAGGCTCCAGGCTCTGAGCTGTCAGCACAGAGCCTGATGCAGGGCTCGAACTCACAAACCCTGAGATCGTGACCTGAGCCGAAGTCGGACGCTTAGCCGACTGAGACACCCAGGTGCCTCTTGCTTTCCAGTTCAATACCAAAATGGTCACTGGAGTTAGGAACTCCTTGTCATCACCACCAATTTCTGGTTCTTTGTCTTTAGTTAGAATTTTCATATTTAGGAAAAAGATCCCTTATAGTTAATGGTGGTATATATGTCACACTATATAAACTATACTGGTGGAGTGAATGTGCGTAGTTGTATCAAAGTTACCTAACTCAAGCATTGTTTATCATATAATGAATATCACAGACTGAAACTTAACATTTTGGCATGATTGGCAAGGGGCAACTTCAGTTATATAATTCCTTTACTGTAACTACTTTCAATATCAGTTTCATTTTTTATTCATTACTTTCCCATATACCTATACAGACTTTAATGATAACCAAATTACTATCTTTTTTTAAGTTTATTTATTTATTTTCAGAGGGAGAGAAAGAACAGGGGAGAGGTAGAGAGTGAGGGAGAGAGAGAATCCCAAGCAGACTTCGCACTGTCAGTGCAGAGCCCGACGCGGGGCTTGAACTTATGAACTGTGAAATCATGACCTGAGCCAAAGTCAAGAGTTGGACACGTAACCGACTAAGCCACCCAGGTGCCCTACTATCTGTTTTTATTTTCTTGTATATCTTACTGTTAATGTTAATTTTCTAGGAGCATTTTTGTCTCTTGTTTTTGAGCAACTTTCTAAACACGATTGTAAGCGCAAGACAATAAATTACATTTTTCTCTGTTGAAGTCTTCTATTCTGAACACAATTTCTAACTTTTGCTACAGATAATGATATGAAAGGCTCAGAGAGCTGTACTGCATTTTATTAACCCTAGAACTCTTCTCTGATGATATTTGTGTCATTGTTTCCTAAAAATGAAGTGAAATGAAAGAAGTCTGTGTAATTAGAGGGTTTAGATATTAGATTCTCAGTTTTTCAGCGTATTAGGAAGAGACTGAAGAAGACAGAATCTCTTTCTCTCCCCTGCTTCCTTTCTCCCTATGCACGCGCACACACACACACACACACACACACACCACACACTGCAGACAATGGACTTCTTTCAACTATACGTTGTATGCCAAATCTGTTTCCAAAAGGGCTTTTTAAATAGCCGTGCATTTTTGGAAAATTAATGTCGCAAATATAGAGTTAACATTCATTTAAAAATATTCTTGGATCACAAAAAAATATAATCTTTAACTTTTCAGCGTAAAGCGATTATGTAACACAAGGCACATCTGTGTTTTACTAGTCATTTTATGTGCGCTTTTTACTTTTAATATCTAGAAAAACAACTTGCCTTCTTGGATTCTTGCTTTAGATACAGAACTTAATGGGCTTTATTCCACTTTCTAACTTATTTTTCTGATCTGAAAAATGTGGCCAAATAGTTGTGACGGGGCATGAGACGACTCCTGTCTAGACACCGAAGGTTCAAATTATACTGTGTCTGCCTCTCTGATGAACTGATAAATGAGGATCCAGTCAGATACATTACACTAACACAATTTCCCAAAATATCCAGACATGGCTTAGACACACAGAGGCAAATCCAAGATCAGCCTTCCCTTCGCAACCATGTTTACGGAACACTGGACGTGTGGGTCCTTCTTTTTGGAGTCATTAGGCAAGAGAGAATGTATCTTGACAACTCGGAACTGTTGTCAGGATGCGACAACACAATCTGGGTTCCTTAGAAGCAGCTGACCAGTGGGTGCATGCAGAAGACCCGGGGTCTGCGTGCAATTACAAGGTCAGAGGGAGACGGAGAGGCACTCACAGTTGTGGCAGGTGGCTCCACTATACCCCGTCTCCTCGCAAGCGCACTGGAAGCTGTGCCATGTTTGCGAGCACTTCCCGCCATGCTCGCAGTGATTGGGCACACATCTGTCAGAGAAAGAGACAAACAGAAATGAACCAACACACGAATGAGATTTATGAGTGGCCAAATTCCAAGCCGTCTGGGCAATATATCATTTCAATGCCAGGTTGACTTACCCAGGCAATTAATCCTTGTTAGTTTAAGCAGATTAATATGATCCATGATGGAAGGTGCCAGGCACACAAAAGATGATGTATCACAAGCCTGGTGTTTCCCATTTTTTGAGTAAACAGTAGAAATTAACAAACAGTGGAGAGACTCATTTGCATAGCACAGATTCATTTTATTTTGCCTTTGCACACAAAAAAAGTCACTAGCTGGATTTCCTCCTGGTGAAAGACAGGGTAGCCATCTTGTTTCCTGTCTTCTTCTTTATCAAGGACAATACCAAGTCAGAAAAGGGTGACACTGAGTTTTTCATAGCAGTTTGAGTTTTTGAAAAAATGCCATGGCAACAGCAAGAAAAGATTGCTAACTCTTCTGTACTTCTCCCCCTGTGTCCAGCTGGTGAACGAAAGCCACGTATCCAAAACATCAAGCATAATACAGGGGAAAATGTGGGTTTCATGTTGAAATCTTTGTCTTTCTATTTATGATACAGCCAGTTGTGGCTACGTAAGTTAACCTTTTACTTTTAATGTTTATTTATTTTTTGAGAGAGAGAGAGAGAACACAAGTGGGGTAGGTGTAGAGAGATGCGGAGACACAGAATCGAAAGCAGGCTCCAGGCTCTGGGCCGTCAGCACAGAACCTGACTAGGGCTCGAACTCACAGACCACAAGATCATGACCTGAGCTGAAGTCGGACGCTTAACCAACTGAGCCACCCAGGCACCCCTAACCTTTCTTAATATCAATTTCTCTTTTGAAATACGGAGTAATTTTGCCTACCCTACAAGTAGCTGTAAGGTGTGGAGGTAGTACGCATAGACTAGATAACTAACAGGCAGGAAATAGAGGGACAGCATACGGGAGATACAAATATTTGAACTGCAATGTCCAGGGCATAATTTCCTAGCTTGCCTGTATCCTCACTACAGTGAGGTTGAAACCTGTTCAGAAACACTCCTGTTTCAATAGCAGACTCTTTACTTCCTCCTGGTCCTACTGTCTTATTCTTCCCACAAATTCTTTTCTGCAACTTCCTGAAAACCTGATTCTTTGTAATTCTGGTTAAGATGCTCACAGATAACAAAGGCATTATCCGTATTACCATTCACAAAAGATTTCAAGATTTTAATAAGAAACTGTCTAAAACGGAAATGTCTACCCAGGTTAAAACAGTAGAATCTATCATAGTGGATCACAGGCAATGGACTGAGAGGGACCCACACTGCATGGGACCCCTGAGTCATAATGCCCTGGTAGCTTCCTGCTGTGAAATTTGATAGGGCTGGTCTCAGAGACAGCATTTGTCATCCCCCCATTCTTGATTTACCCTCAGTCATGCCTAAACCCACAGCAGGCATAATTCCATCTGGCATTGAACCTCCTATCCTTATGTAGGAACGTGGTCCCCTACAACTCTTTGCAAACCTTTAGTGATGCAACACACATTCACTGAACACTTGCTATGTGCATAGCACATGGGAATAGAAGGCAATTAAGATTTCAAGAACTCACAGCCTATAAAAGTAAATATATTGTATATATGAAAACTATATATGAAAACTATAAGATGGAAATGAAAAGTGCCATAGTGCAGGGGCAAATGATGCATGATGGAGTTTCACATGAGGGATCATATGTAGATATGGGGCACAATATAAAGCTTTTAGGTAGAGCCTCAATGAACAGACAAGATTATAAGAGAACTGAGAGAAAGAGCATTGCTGGGGGAAAATACAACAGAAGCAAAAAATGCTGGATTATCATGGGGGAAGGGTGGGTGTGGAAAATTCAACCTACCTTAAAAGGCACTTGTATTTCATACGAATTTTGGCTTGGTGTTTTCAAGGCTTTAAGGAGGGTCCTTCTCCAAAGACCTTATGGCCTAGGTGGAGGTGGGGAATAGGATTCACACAAAATACAACGCGAGGCAGAATTTTGTGAATATAAAAGGAATCGGAAATGCTATAGAAATATGGACATTAGAGTAGCTATGGGTAGAATATAAATAAATATGAAGTTTAAAGCATTTCACTGCATTTTTATAACAACATGTTGAAAATTTTCCCAGCAGAGAGTGAGAAAGCGATGACACAGACAGAGAACCGTGCCCTCCTGTACCCTCACAGGCACCGAGGCATGGCATGGGCCTCTGCAGAGGCCGTGATTCTCCAGATCATGAGAGAAAGCAATGGGATAGACACTCAAAAATTATGAAAATCTAAAGAAACATCCTTGGTACTTAATTTTGGAATTCAGTGTGTATATGGCTTTGTGTGGTATATTTACTTTCTAAATGGTTGTGGGTTAATATTAGCTCAGTCTAATAGTGAAAGTAATTTACATCAGCTCATTATATCAATTAATTCAGGAGGAAGTGATGCAGAAGTGTACTGAGTTGCAAAAGCAAAGCCAGCTCGGAATCTCAATGTGCTCTAAATAACGCACAAAGCAGAGAAGCCACCTCTCAATGATAAAAAAGACTACCATGTACTTAAACACACACGCGAAGTGTATAACCATCAAGTGAGATTGACTGAATGCTCCTAAAATTCAGTATTAAAGATTTCTTTAAAAGTGGTCTCTTATTTAAATGGGGTTTTAATATCTCATTTGGTAATGTCTGTTCCTTATAATTTGCATTTTTTAAACAGATAGTATCCTTTTGCTGGTACTGGAATTTAGTTCTTCTTTTCTTTTTTTTTTTTTTTTTTTTTTTTTTTTTTTTAAAGAAAAAACATTAAGTTTTATTTATTTTGAGAGAGAGGGAGAGGAGGAGAAAGAGAGTGCACAAGCTAGGGAGGGGCAGAGAGAAGGAGAGACAGAATCCCCAAGCGAGCTCCACCCCAAGGAGTCATCAGCACAGAGCCCTACACAGGGCTCCAACTGTGAGATCTTGACCTGAGCGGAGATCCAGAGTCAGATGCTTAACCGATTGAGCCACCCAGGCGCCCCTGGCATTTAGTTCTTGATGGTGAGAGATGTTTTATTTCCAAACAAATTGACTCAAATGTAATTTCAAACTCTAATACTTTACCACTATATTTAAAACAAAAATGTTAGGGCCAGTCACCAAGCAAAACAAAATATGAATGAAACTAGTCTCCCACTTCCTGTTTATTTCTTCTCCCATGCTCCCACAAGACCATTTGCAGAGGTCCTATGCACCATTATCACATTGGTTAGTAATTGTTTGAACATCTTGTCTCTTGTAAACCGTGAGATTCTGCAGTTATGGATTTTCATCTTATGACTCAGCATGATGAGGTGCCTCATCTACCCAGAAAATGCCTGCTGGCCACTGACCGAAGCAATGGATGAAGGTGCCGAATGTGAAGTTACACCAAGGGACAGAAGTAAGTTTGGAGGAAACATCTCTTTTACTGGGAGAACTATGGATTGGTGTTATGTATGATTTTAGTCTTACATCCAGACTCTTGCTTGAGGTAACTGTTACACGTAGAGTTTGTTTCATGGCTTGTCCTAGGTTGGAAGTTTGATTTGCATCAAATGAGACTCCCAGTGGCTCCACTGTGGTTATGGGACAGCTACTTGGGGGCAGTATCAGGACCCTGCATGGGACAAGTTGGCGAGTGTCAATTTGCTGTGATCAAAGGGCTCCAGAGGAAGTGATGCATCCAATTATCTCTGTCCCCGAGACTCTTCCAGCTTGAATCATCCCTCCAGTCGTAGCAATGCTTTCCAAAATGCTTCAGAAGCAGAAGGCATTTTTTTTTTTCAAATAAAAGTGACTTATACCACGATATGGAAAACAAACAAAAGCTAACCTTTGAAACTTGAAATGTATAACGATTCCTTACTCTAAAATCCATCACTACGGACGAAGTGGCTGTTTGGATGGATGCAACAATCCTGTCTAGGGTTATGGATGACAGTTGTAGTTTTATTCTACCCTGAGTATCTCTTTTATTTCTATACTCGATTTTAATGGCAAAGCATTGAGAAAAAATGGTATTCGCAGATAGAAGAAACTGCAAATGGTTCCAGGTTTGTTCGTCACGGCTCCCTTCTGTGGATACTACTTTAACAGAGACAGCAGAAGAAAGTTTATTTCAAATCGAAAAGAATGTCAATCTGACAGCATCATGGAATGCAATGGTAGTCTTCAAAGGACTTCGAAAGTGTTTTCTTTTCTTTTTCTACGGTGCTTAATAGTTATTATTAAGAACCCAATATAAAAAACACACAGTGGTTTTCTGAAATGTGTTCGCACAATACCAAATAATGATTAACAGTGGAGGGTTTTTCAGAATGGCTTGCTGTTACTAACATCCTGAACTACTGGTACACAAAAGTTCTCAAATGTTCGTGCATATAGGAGTCACTTGAAAATCTGGTTACAATGAAAATTCTGATTTCTTAAGTCTGGGATGGAGTCCGAGATCCTGTCTTTCTAACCTGCTTTCCAGGGCTGCTCAGGCAGGTAGTCAGAGGATCTCACTGTGAATTAAAAAACTCGAGGGCATTTAGTCCCTCCTCCCTAGGGGCTCAAGGAAGAATCTGGAGGAGGAGAGAAGCAGCAGCCCCAGGAGGGAGGGCGTGGGGGAGAGACAGCAAGTGGGAGAGGCCAATTTGATATATCAGGCCACTTGTCCACTCAGAGTAACAACATAATCATCTCCTAATCTCACGTAGTTGGTTTAATCATTTCGGAACCCGAGTTTAGACCTCATATGACTCCTAGAAAGTGATTACTGAATATAAAGGCAGTTTCATTTGACCTGAAAATCAAGTTCTGTATTCTCCTTCTGTGTCAGCTGAGATCCCCCACCTGCTTAGTTATGGGACAGGGGCCAGTTCTGCAGTATGTCATTTGCTTTCAGATTAGTACAAATTTTATCCCAGGACATTATATATGCCTTGTTCTAAACTTCAGA